ATAAACAATTACAATTAACGAACAAAAGCAATGGGTAATGAATCTAATTATTAGGAAAAGTTACTACGCCACATCGCATTTGTTTAATTATTACATATCGGATTTAGATCAAAAAAAGCACATATAATATGCGTTAACTTTTATTATGCTGATATTGGTTATTATTGTTATTTGCACAAATATCGCACTAGCTACATTAAGAAAGGTAATTTTGTTGTACATTTTATGTGCCTAAAATGTAATTGCATGAGTCTGGACACTCTAGTGATAGGCAGATAATGAAAAAAAATGTATTGTCTCAGGAATAAAAAATATTGCAATAATTCAATTTTTTTTAATTTGCTTTATTTTAATTCAGTTTTTTTTAAACTTGAATTAGAAGCTCGAATATGAGAAATGTGTTAGTTTTGGTCGCAATTAGAATAGGTTATTTAAACTTTTTTTTTATAATAAAGTCGTTAATATTACATGATATATTGTGAAATGATAATGGTGTTACAATCGCTGATGTTATGATATTTTGCAAAATGATAATAGTGTTATGCTCATATTTAGTTCTACTCTAGTAGGACTATGTAAGATACACAGGCCAAGTTTAAAAAAACTTAAAAACTGCAAAACGTCTATAAAGCCACTTTCTACTTATTAAAAAAATCTTGACATAGTACAGTATAAGTCTGGTTTGGTTATAAATCTATTGTATATGTTCAATTAGTATAGATCATCTGATGTTATACAATATTCAGAAATTTTAGGAAATTCACTACTTATTGCATGATACAGGTATCACGTAAATTTCAGCATCATCTGATTTTAGCATCATCCCCGACAATTAATCTATAACATGTAGTTCATAAAAATTAATATTTTAAAAACCTTATTTAGTATTATTTATTTCATGAGGAAGTAAAAATTATAGTAGAGGTTACCGATGATCATAGTATGTGGATGGCCCAAAGGGCCATCCATGTGTTATGATTATTGGTAATCTCTGCTATAATTTCTCTTCAGGAAATAAATAAATAATCCCCAGGAGCGTGTCACTAGATGTTAATCGAACTGCCATACTATTATTTTTACACGTGTTCTATATTTATATTTGTATTGTGCTTTACTGACTTTTGGGCTTTGTTATATTTTTCTTACTTACATCATTTTTAGAATTTTACTTTTTTTATCGTTTATGCTTTTTACTTCTACGTTTAACTTTTTTCAAGCTCTTACTTTTGCTTTACTCTTATTGTGTCTTTTTTAGCTTTATTTCTACTGTGCTTATTTACTTTGGCCTTTAAAGTTCTTTATAAAAAATATGAAACATACAAAAAAGAAAATTCTTCAAATAAAAATTAAGCGCAAAAAATTAGAGTTTCCTGATGATCAATATGAGACGGTGAATCTTTTATGGGAAGATTTCTGGTCACAATATGATTATTATAAATATAGTTAATTATGTATAAAAAATAATAATAAAGATTAGGGATTGGAACTGTAACAGACAAGAAGCGAAAACACGAAGGGTTTATATACGGGAAGCAAGATAAGTCTTTTTATTGAACAGACTAAGTAGAAGAAGTACATTGTTGCTCCTTTATATATGTAGCTATTACTAATCCGCCATCACTTACTTCTCTATAATTACAAAGTGATGACTACATTTTTCATGTGACTCTTACTTCTCTATTACTACATTTTTCATGCGACTCTTATTTCTCTACAATTACTACATTTTTCATGCGCATTATATATTAACTACAAATTACTAACTTTTGTAACTTCTATGATCTAACAGCTACAATTGAATAATCGGGACTTGCGAAACTTGGATCACAGGATTGAGAACGGGCCTGAGTTGGGTTAGAGTCACGGGCTTGAATCGAACTTGAGTCACGGCTTGAATCAAACTTGAGTCACGGGCTTGAATCGAACTTGGGTCACAGGCTTGAAGCACGGGGCCTAAGTCACGGCTTGTGGCTTAGGGCTTTGTTTGTGACATTATCTCCCTCTCAAAGCTTCTCTTGTATCTTCGTTTCTGCATGTTTTTTCCTCGGTTTGCATCAGTACTGGCTTAAGAGGATATTTCTGGTGAAATGCCTGCACTGCATTCTGGGCGTGGACTACATTCTCATATGGCTCCCACGAACATTCATTTAGGTTATACCCTTTTCAGTCAATAAGGTAATATAATTTTCCTCATATTAATTTGGAGTCAAGTATGCTTTCAACTTCATACTCAGTTTTAGCTCCTATTATAACAGGTGATGGAGGATCTCTTTTTCTTCCCAGAATTTTATTTACAATGTATAGTTCTAATAAAGAAATATGAAATACCTCGTGAATTTTAAACAAGGATGGTAATTCTAAACGAAAAGCAACTGGATTGATCTGCATTGCAATTTTGTAGGGTTCTAATCTTTGGTAGTCCAACTTTTCCGAAGGACGTTGGGTGCGAATGTTCCGTCGTAACAACCAGACCTTATCATCTGGCTTGAAAAGGGGAGGTTTTTGTCATAATCTGTCTGCATTTTGTTTATAACGCTCTCGTGCTGCCTCTAATTCCTTTGTAAGTTCCACTCTTATTTGTTGTAGGTGGATTGCATGATTTTCTGCAGATGTCACTACAGAGTGTTTGGGTGATTGTATATTGAATTGAGGGTAAAAGCCGTAATTGGCAAAAAACAGAGTTGTGTCAGTAGATGAATGAGTTGAATTATTGTAAGAAAACTCTGCCAAAGGCAAGAGGTCCGCCCAATTACCCTGATGGTAGTTTACAGTACACTTTAGATACTGCTCTAGTACTTGGTTAACCCACTTACTCTGTCCATTGAATTGAGAGTGGTAGGCAGATGACAGCTTGATTTTTTTTCCCAAAAGCTTAAAAAGGTGTTTCCAGAAATAAGAAGTAAATTGAGGTCCTTTGTCAGACACTATCTCTTCTGGAATACCATTTAAACGGACTATTTCCTGTAAAACAAGTAGAGCTGTTTGTTTCGCATTGATACTTTTGTTGCAAGTGATGAAGTGGGCCATTTTTGTTAATCTGTCCACCACCACTAGGATAGAATCAAAACCTGCAGATGAAGGTAGGTCAACTATAAAGTTCATAGATATGGACTGCTATTGGCGAGAAGGGATTGGTAAAGACGCTAGCAATTCATAGGGACGGTGTCGTGGTGTTTTTGATCTGGCACATCTATCGCAGGTTGCTATATATTTTTGTATGAATGATTGAAGTTTAGGCTACCAGTAATCTCTAGTTACTAATTCGACAGTTTTTGTTACTCCAAAATGCCCGGCTAATTTAGAGTCATGCCGTGTTTGTAAAATTTTTAGTCTCTCTGCCATTCCCAGTACATATAATAATCCTTCTCTATATAACAACTCATTTTCATGTGAAAACTTGTGATAGTCAGAGCAAACATTTTCTTTGGCATTGTTGATAGGGTTTAAGTGACTTATCACATCAAGAGCAAGGGGGTCTGATTCAAGTTAAGAGTGAATAAGGTTTAGTAATTCATTATCAAATGGTGTTGTTGTTATAACATTAAGACTAATTCTTTCAGGCCCTAACAAAATGGTTTGTAAGAAATTGTCTTTATCAGATTGCAGCTTATAGTCGGACCGCCGGGACAGGGCATCTGCTTTTCCTTGGTTTTTACCTGGCTGAAAGGAAATTTCAAACTCATAATTAGACAGAAGTAGAGACCACCGGGCCTGATGATAGCTAAGTACCCAGGATGACATGAAATGTTGGAGGTTTTTATGATCACAATATACAGTAATTTTATATTGAGCCCCTTCTAAATAATGATACCACTGTTTAAAAGCCGACACTATAACTAAGAGTTCTTTGTTATACACTTCATAGTTTAACTCTGCAGAAGTAAATTTTCGAGAATAGTAGGCAACAGGGTGAAGTTGGCTGTCATCTTGAAGTTATGAAAGAATTGCGCCTAATGTATAGTCTTAAGCATCAGTCTCTAAGAAAAAGAGTTTTGCTGGTTTGGCATGAACTAGAAGAGGGGCTGTAGTGAATGTTTTTTTTAATGTATCAAAAGCTAATTGAGCTGCTTCAGTCCAATAAAAGGTCTTATTTGTTTTCTGGGTCAGGTTTGTAATAGGAGTTACTACTTGAGAGTAATTTTTGATAAACTGCCGATAATAATTAGCAAATCCAAGAAACTGTTGCGTCTTACAGAGAGTTATAGGCTTAGGCCAGGATAACAAACTCTCCACTTTCCCCACATCCATCTCTATTCCTTTTTGAGTGATCAAGTAACCCAGGAACTCCATACAAGCTTTATTGAATTTACACTTTTCCAGCTTGGCATATAATCCGAAATGGCGCAGCCTCTCTAGTACCAACCTCACATGAGTGTCATATTCTTTAGGAGTCGAGGAATAAATCAAAACATCATCAAGGTATACAATAACAAAACTATCCAAGTAATTCTGGAAAATGTTATTCATTAAGTGTTGAAAGACTGCAGGGGCGTTGGTGAGACCAAAGGGCATTACTAGGTATTCAAAATGTCCATACTGGGTACGAAACGCAGTTTTCCATTTATCACCTGGCTTAATCCTGACTAAGTTATAAGTACCTCTCAAATTGATCTTAGTAAAGACCCGAGCTGATGATAAGCGATGTAGAAGTTCTGATATGAGGGGGAGAAGGTATCGATTTTTTACAGTGACTTGATTCAAACCTCGATAGTCCACGCACAAGCGTAGTGAACCATCTTTTTTCTTAACAAAAAGGATAGGGGCCCCAGCAGGGGATTTAGAATGCCTTATATAACCCTTGTCTAAATGCTCTTCTATATATTTTTTTAGTGCTTCTAATTCTAGTTCTGTTAATTTATAAATCGGCCCCCATGGAGGTTGTTTGTCTGATATTAGATCAATTGCACAGTCATAGGGTCGGTGCTCTGGCAGTTTCCTGCCTCTTTCTCACTAAAAACATCATGGAAGTCTTGATACTTCGCTGGTAGTATTGAGTTGGTTGTTTCCAGGTTTTACTTATTGACGAGGTGTGAAAAACTTGGATCATGAATATTCGCACTTCGGGGTTTGCATCAGCTTCTCACTGACTTCCCAATGCTAATTGGTATTGGAAATGAGAAGTACATATAATGTCGGAGAATATCAGAGTGCGCCTATGCCAATTTATCGTGGGATTATGAAGTGTTAACTATGGCAATCCTAATATAACTTGATGATGGGCAAAAGAATTAGATTAAAGATTATCTCCTCAAAGTGATTTTGATAATGCAATATTAGTGGCCTAGTCTCATGTGTGACAGCACCCGAAGAAATCTCTTGGCCATTAATAACTTCTACTGATAGTGGTGAAGATTTTTTGTTCATAGGTAGGTGAAGTTTTTGAGCTAGCTCAAAGTCCAAAAAACATGATGATGCTCTGAAATCTATTAATGCCTCCATATGTATTCCAGGTTGGTTGGAGAGTTGTAGGAATACAGGTATGGTAAAAGTGCCTAAAAGGGCATATGAAAAAATTTGTTTAGGGATATGGGCATTACCATCCAACTGCAGTTCCTTTACTGCAGTTGGGGCTTCCCTTTTCTCGACTCTTCTCCTGAAGCTAAAATGGTGGCATCAATTCTATGTCCAGCACTATATTTCTTTGGGCAACTCTTGACCATGTGCCCAGAATTGCCACAATAAAAACAAAGATTGTTCATTCGGCATCTTTTCTTCTCTACTTCTGAGAGTGATCTTGATCTAATCATGTCGAGTTGCATAGGGTCAGGATAAAAACTGGCTGTGCTAGGGTTAGTTGTTTGTTTGTTTTAATTAGAAAAACTGCCAAACTGACGTTTCTGGCGCCTTTCAAACAACTGATTATCGCAGCGAACAGCCTTAGTAATAGTATCATTTAAGGTGTCAGGGTCTTCCATAGTAAGTAACAAGTCCTTCACATCTTTTCTGAGACCGATTCTAAACTGATCGATTAATGCTGCCTCTCCCCAATCAAGGTCACCAGAGATTTGGCGGAACTCAGAAGTATAACTTGAGGCTGGCTTAGAGCCTTGAGAGAGTTTCTGAATCTTGTTAGCTGCTGTTCTAACTTTGTCTGTCTCTCCAAAAGTTAGCTCAAATTCTTTAATGAAGTCTTCAAAATTTACAAGTAACTCTGATTCTCTTTCAAGAAGTGGTGCAAACTACGCAAGGGCTAGACCTGTCAGTAAACTTCTAATTAGGCCTACTTGAGTTTGGTTGTTTGGGTATCGATTTTGCTACATACGAATAACAAGGCGAATTTGATTTAAGAACTCTATAAACATGGAATGAGTTCCATCAAACTTATCAAAGAGACCAATTTTAGGTTCTTTTTGTTGAACAATAATTTCTCCTTGTCCCCGAAGCTGGTCCAGTTCATTTTGAAGTGCCTGATTTTCCTGTTGAATTTGATGTAGAATGGCTACAATTTCATTGAGATCTGCTATTTTTTTTTTTTTTTTGTTAAATTATTTGGGTTTTGGTTTATTTTATTACAGTTACTAACTATAGTTGAAACTAGAAGGTCAAAAGGTATCGGAAACAAGACTAGAATATGATTAGTCTGTTCAAACTGTAACAGACAAGAAGCGAAAACACGAAGAGTTTATATATGGGAAGCAAGATAAGTCTTTTTATTAAACAGACTAAGTAGAAGAAGTATATTGTGCTCCTTTATATATGTAGCTATTACTTACTTCTCTACAATTACAAAGCAATGACTACATTTTTTATGTAACTCTTACTTCTCTATTACTACATTTTTCATGCGACTCTTATTTCTCTACAATTACTACATTTTTCATGCGCATTATATATTAACTACAAATTACTAACTTTTGTGACTTCTATGACCTAATAGCTACAATTCAATAATTGGGACTTGCAGAACTTGGATCACAGGATCGAGAATGGGCCTGAGTCGGGTTCGAGTCATGGGCTTGAATCGAACTTGAGTCATGGGCTTAAATCGAACTTGAGTCATGGGCTTGAATCGAACTTGGGTCACGGGCTTGGAGCATGGGGCCTGAGTCACGGCTTGTGGCTTGGGACTTTGTTTGTGACAGGAACCACCTAAAAGTTTTCTTAATTATTTAATCATTTAACTGTTTAACCATTTAGTTTGACCGGCATTAAAATAATTTTGGCCCACAACCAACATAATTCTGCCCAGAACTATAGAGCAATTTTTAAATGGTTAAATAGTTCCAATCCCTAATAAAGATAGTTATGAGTGACACTTAGTGTGACAGGAAATTAGTAATAATTATATACATGAAAAGAAATCATATATTTTAAAATTATTAATTATATTGGTCAGAGGATATATCACACAATCTGTACTATTATATAATTTTTAAATATTTTTATAATTATAAATAATAAATGACTAATATTATATTTGCAAAACTGATTTACCATTATAATTACTATTATTATTTATAGTATTTGTATCACTGCAGCTTTCAATTTACACAAAAAATAAAATAATTTTTAAGATTCTTTATAATTCATGACCTATTTTAACAAATAAACTCCTCTATTACATTGATTCAAGTTATAGTTCTTTATTTGAATATTGATAGTAAGAATTTTATTTGAAAAATTTAAACTTTTTATTGAAATACAACATACGTATAATTTTATTGTTTTAATTAGTAGAGATTCTGATTAAATAGATTTTATTGAAGAATTGAGGTACTGAATATCTGGATCAAGTTCTTTATTTTTTAAGATTTTTTTATCTATATACTATATTGTTATGATACAATGGGCATGAATGTTATTTAGAAAGTTTTACATTCTGAAATAATTTCAAAATAATGCTTATATGCATTGCAAAATGGTAACTAAAAAGGAGATAACTGAAAACTACTATAATCTAGCAACTACAATAATAATTATACTCTAACAAGATTGAATCTCAAATTGGTAGAATTCGATTGATGTATAGAAAGACTTGACCAAAGTCTTTAGAATCTAGGTTTTATACATACAATAATGAAGTTCTGATAAATATTTTTATTTTCAACCTTATATTTTTATAGAATTATATCGATTTAATACCAATAACTTTGCTATATTCT